ACAGGTCCAGGCAAACATCAGTAGATTTCTAATCTACCCTTAGTCACTCGGGCAAGCTGCCGAATATTATTCTCAACAAATCTGATTTGTTCGTGGTTCATTTTAGTTAGTGGGATGGCGCGAAGCCCACCCTGCAGCAGCTCCCGAGTCCACGGATCGTACACTCGGGAGTTTTTGGCAGGAGTGGTACTCGGACCACCGTATTCTGGGTGGTTGCTGGTTGGCCTATATGTACGGGTCGGATCGGTAACAGTCGAACCAGGTTCCCTTTTAGATCCGACCTCGGTACCATTTCCTCTTGACTCCGTCCGATCTTTCACGGCTTTATTGAGTACTTAGTATGGTATTCCGGTGCAAGTTTGGAGGCACGGATCTCGACGTTGGGTTCTAAACGCCAGCCGCAGTCCGGGTGCCGTTCGCTGGTGACCCGCACTTTGGGGCGTCGCGCGCCTTCTCTCCTCTTTCACGTTCCGAATTAACTCGTTGGCACATCAGCTTTCTCTTAATTTGGACTTGAGCGGGTGCCCCATAGCTCCGATATTGCACAACTTGGGTGAGGACTTGACATGGGCAGGGCGCGTGGCTGTTGACCAGAAAGTCGTAGGTTCGATTCTTGCCGGTGTCGATAGCACCTGCAACGGAGGCATAGCCAGGAGTGGGACCGAGTACTTCCAATGTTGAGCTGGTACTCCTGCCACAACGCTGGATACTGCTTTGGATACGCTGGTGTCCCCGCCAGGCGCCGCTTCTGATAGCCTCCGTAGACCAGTGGGGTAAACAACAAGCACAAAATCCAAAATGACGTAGGATGCGGCGGTTCGAGTCTCACTCCTGTCCAAAACTCCAGATCTTTCGCGGTTTTGGTGGGTGCTTGCCGAGGTAGTTGTTTGGCAATTTCGTTGTCTGGTAATTTCCACACCAGGGGTACGCTCGACAGGAGTGGGACTCGAACCACCGTATTCTAGACCGTCCCAGATATTGTGGTCGCCGCCCACCCCTCTGGGCTACGG